ACAGCACATGCCTCCCGCACAGACTTATTGACCGACTGATTGACTACCGGACCAAATTAATAAATGAATGACTGAATGAATAAATGTCTCTTCAATGCCCTTTGATTGGTATCCGGTTAGATCGCTCCATGGTTAGATCGCTCCATGGTTAGATCGCTCCAAGTCAGATCGCTCCATACCGAAGTCAGATCGCTCCACTCGAAAGTTAGTTCGCTCCATCAAATAAGTTACCTCGCTCCATACATAAGTTACTTCGCTCCATGTACTTCTGATCTTTATAGTTTATAGTTGATGATGTGTATTGCGTCTTGCGATCGAGTTGCTGATCGACGTATTCGCTAACTTGAGGCCACCAAAGCGAATTACCGATGTTGGAACAAGTGTTTCAGTGTGTAATGAACGTAGAAAACTAATAAACTAACTTACTTCTGATCTTTGTAGTTTATAGTTGATGATGTTGCTTGCGATCAAGTTGCTGAAATATAAAGTGATCGACGATTCGTTCACTTGAACCCACCAAAGCGAATTACCAATGATGAAATAAGTGTTTCAGTGTGTAATAAATGATGAAATAAGTGTTTCAGTGTGTAATAAATGATAAAGTTATGGTCTAAATGTGTTAAAAAGATCATTCGAATAAAATACTGGCCCGTGTGTATCCGCCATCTTTAATAAAGTAGGTTACACTTTACGAGTTCCTTACATGAGGTTTATTTCTTCGCTCTTAAGTTAAGTGCGCGTGCGTTCTTAATTGATTCAACCTTCCACGTTAGTTTTCTTCATGGAGCGAATTAACTTATGTATGGAGCGAAGTAACTTATGTATGGAGCGAAGTAACTTATGTATGGAGCGAAGTAACTTATGTATGGAGCGAAGTAACTTATTTGATGGAGCGAACTAACTTTCGAGTGGAGCGATCTGACTTTGGTATGGAGCGATCTGACTTGGAGCGATCTAACCATGGAGCGATCTAACCGTAATTCTTTTGATTTGTCACAGAGGTATTTTATTAAGATTCACAGACTGCAATGTCCCAACCAAGGATCACATATGATGGAGTTCCTTTTATTATCACTGAAAAGCGTGTGTATGATTGCCATCAGGGCACTAACAGACATGCAGCTGATTTTTTTGCAGCAGTTCTAAGAATAGCAGCAAATTATTGTTTTTACAGTTCTAACTTTTTGAGTGGTCATGTACACGAATAAGATGGCGGGATTTTACTGGGGCAAATCCCTCTAAGCTGACATCGCTGCTGACATTTGTTTGTGTTCTATGCAAGCTGTACCTCTAGCCAGTAGTACTGGGGCAAATCCCTCTAAGCTGACATGGCCGCTGACATTTGTTTGTACTCTATGCAAGCTGTACCTCTAGCCAGTAGTACCAGTTAGAGGTACAAGAACAAATGAAAAAAAAGTAAATGTAGACCTATTCTTGAAAAAAAGTGATTCAAAAGAGTGTAAGACTAATTTGGAGTGCAGAAAAATAAATTGTGAAGCAAACCATAATAAAAATAGGCAAACACGACTGATCTTGTGTGGTGCCGTCATGGACGAAGTCAAGCGAGAGGTATGTATTTATTTATTATTATTATTTATTTAACTTTATTTATACACGGATAAAACATCAGGACTTAAAGTAATTACTAAAATTGCATTAATTACATTGTTAAGATAGTATCTGTTATTAGTATCTTACATTGTTAAGATACTAATCTACTACTAATTAAATCTAAAAACAGCATAAAAACAAAAATGAAGTGCCTGCTTTCCATGAATGCCGTGTGATTAATTAACTTATTTATCATCAAAAAGGAAACCCCTGAGGCTGGATTTAAAACTAGCAATAGTCTGTGCTTGCCGCAGATTGGTAGTTAAGCTGTTCCACATCACTGCACCATTATAGCTGAAACTGTTTTTTAGAAAATTGGTGCGGGGGAGTGGAACAGCTAGTTTGCCTTCACAATTCCTAAGAGAATAGGCAGATATTGCTCTCCGATCAGTAAACATTGATTTCGGATAATCAGGGGCGAGACCATTAAGAGATTTATAGACCATAGTGGCTGTTTTCAATTCTCATTGGAGATTAAGTTTTTGCCAGCCTAGTCTAACGAAGAGATCATCTGCCTTGGCATCATCTGAAGAAGAGGTCAAAATACGCGCAGCGCGATTCTGTAGTTTTTGTAGTTTAATGGAAACAGATTTATTGCAATTCCCTCATACGACATACTGTTCCATTGTTTTCGTTGGTATGCATAGTCATGCTGATACTGATTTATAAATGACATATCAGGCAGTCATATAGCATGTGCTATGATTTGAAAAACGAAAAATCAACAGCACCCTTTGAGTTTAGTGAAGAGCATGTACGCGACCTCTCAGTATCAATGAAATTAAGGGTTTGATCCTTTGAGTTTGGCGGGAGGTCCATTAATTCAGTGCGACATCGTTTAGTCGCATCGCTTTTTATGTTGCGATTTTAGAACTAGCTGTCGTTTCAGCGAAGAATGTAGTGGAAGGAAAAATCACCGTGTTTGACGAATGTATGGTATTGATGACCAACAGATCCGGACCTCTGGTCGGAGAAAGCATCTCGCGGTGGAGGAAAATGAAAATTAAAGGAACATGTAGGAATATTGTATGTATGATGTCCAAGTAAACTTTCTGCACACTTGACTACGTAACACAAGTGAAACAGAGTCATTTAATAAAAGGCACTGGTGTAGACCTTTTGGGTTTGTAGAAGGATCAAAAATGAAATAATGATATTCTTCTCAGAAATCGTTGTAGGCAATCAGCCACAATTTTATGACGTTCTTTCTCGATAGAAAGCAGAATGAATTGTGAAGCGAAATCAGAGTAGACCTTAAATCAGTTTGGACTAAAAGGCCGTTTGATAGTTTCTGTCTCTATGTAAAGCTGAATGCCAACCATTTGATAGCTGCAACGGTTACTAATTATTTTGTTAGTTGATTATGTCCTATCTCGAGAGAACTGCAATCTAAGTAACTCAAGACTAGCAGCGTAAATCTCAAAAGTTAAGTGACACCCCTATCGAAGTGCAAGAGAAGAGGATGGAGACCCTCTCTAGGGTTCTCGTTGTGATTGGGTATTTTGCAAGAGAGTATCAATTGTTAACTGCTGAACACAGCTGTTAAGGTATGATTTAACCGACAGAAAGAACACTCATGATACTCTTACAAACCCAACCACCTTATCAAACAACGTGTAATATTCTTATCAAGGAGCGACTCCTAAAAGCATTACAGTAATTATCCTCAGTAAACTTACCTTATTCCACTACAGACTACAACTTAGCTCACCAATGACACAGTCTTTGCATCAAGAATGGCAAATTTGACAAAGTTCGACATTTGCAGAAATGTTATAGGATGAAACTCATTTCCTTCTCAGCAAAAACCTTCAAAAAAATTATATACAAAAATTTCGGTGAATTCATTGAGCAAAGCTACGACCACCCCCCATTCATTTCATCCCCTCTCCTCTGTATGCTGAAGCATCATTTTGCCCCAGAAACAAAATAACGTCAGGGAATATTTCCAAACAGACGCAAAACTCTCCTTCATTTAAATGTTAATACTATTCCTCAGGTATCCTCTACTCCAGACTGAAAGAGCGTTGTTTTCATATTAGGTACTGTTTCTAGTGCAATTATTTATATCAGCTGAGGAAAGAAGGGTTTTGACCAAAAGGTAACCTAGTTTATAATTATGTAAGATTGAGGGACTCTTAACTTAACCTCTACTGAGAGTGACAGGAGAACATGGTCTCTTGGATGTAAGTCTCCTGGAACACGTACATGCGATTTTTTGCACTTCCGGAAGCTCTGTTACTTTGGTTTGGTTTTGTCCTTCCTTTAAAGGAGAGATCTAGAGAGATGGGTCTAGATATGTTAGATCAATGTCGTGGAGAGAAATATGTGAACACGTGTACGGCATCATCAAGCAGACAGAGTCAACTCAGAACTTTTCAACACTTTTATTATATAAAAAATTTAAAGTTATTACATTAGCAACGTATCCAAGAAAAAAAAAGACTTGAACACGTACCTACGACCAGTTTCGTTGAGTAATAGTATCTAGTACGCGAAAACTATCGAGCCAAACAACAAAATTTCTTGCAAAAGTAATTTGCCAAGTATAAGTTTGATTAAAATACCGTATAAAAGTATTTCGAGTTGGTATCGCGGGTAAAGGCGGTCTTGGGGAAAGCAATTTATGCGCACGATTAGCTTTCCCGCAAACAAACGGGTTTTGCGGCAAATTTTGTTAGCAATTTATTAAAATTGTACACAACTATGGCTTTTAGAGCGAGATCTCATTATCACCTCAGAATTGAGCCAGAAAATAAACGGAACTCAAACGCTTGTGTCGAGGCATACATGTAAGTACTTAATATGTTAAAGAGAAAATGAGAGTAACCTTTATCGGTAAACTTATAAAAGCGTTTCAGCGTTTAAGAATATGAAGTCAATTGAATTACAGCGTTACAGCCTAACTGCTAAACGCAACATGCCTATTTCTACCAAGTAAGCGGGTGAGGAAACGATGATGAATCCCTTGAAAACTTGTCTGGGCGAAGTGTTCAAAATGTTAGCCAGTCATACACCCTTGGCGTGTATCTAACTACACTGTTAAATCCTCGACGTTTGCATACAACTGCTTGTCGTACATTTTCATGTCAATTAGCTTCTGCAGAGAAAAATAATATAATAATCAGCAACATTAAAAAAGTTTTAAGTGATTATCCTCATGAGTAGTCAGGTTTTCACACCAAAACAAATTCAAGGAGGAAGTACTTTATGGCGTCGTCGTCTGCAACTCTTTGTGCGTCTCATTGCAGTTTTGCAATCATCCTATGATCTTTTAAATAACCATAAAGTGTTAATTGTCATTGAGACATTCAATCGTCATTGAGACGCTATTTAAGCTCAATACTGTTATGTTTAACCCTAATTAGCTGAGCCTAAGCCAGTCGGTCTTACGTGAAAAAAAAAAACTTCATATTGATAAAAATTCTGACCTTGTGTAGGGTTTCCATGTCCTTAAGCTGATTTTTCAATTCGGTGAAAGTTGGTCTTGCGTCTGGGTCATTCTTCCAGCATTTCATCATGATCTGATACCTGGTATTATTCAAATAATCTGTTAAAGATTTAAAGAATGTTTCCTTGTACGACGAGGGAGAACAAGTAAATAAAGAAAACTTACAATTTTTCATCGACGTGTTTGTGGTTTAGGCATCCTGTATCCATCCTGGAGTAAGTTTGCAATTTTTCTTCCATCCATTCGTGGGTAAGGTGAACCGCCTGGAAGAACCACAAGACCATCGAAATATAAATGTGACAAAAAAAACGACCTTCAATGAAACACCACCTTTGTCACTAGATGTAGTTTGAAGCTCATTACGTTTGTCTAACTGAACACGATACATTGTTGAATTAAACATGGTGTAAAGCAAAAACATCTACAGAGCCTCATAAAATTCCATTCGATGTTACCTATGGTGAAAATCTCGTATAACAGAACTCCATAACTCCATCTGTAGAAAGACAAATCAAACGAATATAAATTAAGTGACTAAAGACATAAACAGTATATACGACGAATAAAATATATGTATTCTTTGACAAAGCATAGAATTCAAGTCCTGATTAAAATTGATAAAATTTTTGATAAACTGCTACGGGTTATAATCAGGTATACTTACACGTCACTTTTGGTGGTATATTTACCATACAATAAGGCCTCATAAGCTGTCCACTTCACGGGAAGACGGCCCTAAAGATTTTAAATATCACTTTGTGAAACAGCTCGAGAATTATAGGAAGCGAGTAGTCAGAAATAGTGATATTTAAAATTGTATTCGTATACGCATGGCTGATAGTTTCATTAGGGTCCCAAGGAATTCATGATCGAAATCAGGAATATATCAGCTCAACCACAACAATGATGTCAAAGATCACTAAACTGAACGAAATGTGATACCGCCCTCACCTCCCCTCTTTCTTGATTACCTTTGTCTTTCGTTCATAAATATTTTCCTGCTGCACATCTCTGGCCATTCCGAAGTCTGTCACTTTACACATTTCCTTTTGTCCAACCAACACATTACGGGCCGCAAGGTCTCGGTGAATGATCTAAGAAAGAATTGATGTAACAGCAAAAATTAGCGATTGTAGATGAAAAAGAACTGAAATGAAATGGTTCAGAGAGGAAAATAGAAATATCTAGCAACATAATATTGTGTGTGTATTTCTTTTTCTTCCAGATGGCAGAAAGTTAAAACTACTACAATATCTGTTCCGTATTCCAAAGAGAAGCAAACTACTTTTTTTTTGCAATACGTAGTCATTTCAAAGAACGCTTACCTTAACATTTTAATCGAAATAGGATTCTGTAATGAAGCAGTTTAGCGACCAAAGACGATTTTTTAAAGTTGAAGTTTTAATTCCTTTTCTTCCTTGTCACTAAAATGGATATTTGTTGTACACTCAGTTTAAGCTGAATATCTTAAAAGATCCTATTCCTTCACGTCTCTGCCTTTGCTCACACGAGAAAAACCCAGATATTTTATTTCGATGGGGTACACTTGCAATGATGCACAAATATCGCCATTCTCGCATTGAAATAAAACTTATATGATGACGTCAAAATCGGGAGGGTTCCTGGCCCTAAAGAAATAGCCTCGACAAGACCGTAAGAATACGTCTGCATCTCCCAGGCGTGATCTTGTGAAGACATAATATTCCATGCCAGAGCTTAACATGACGATAGAATTGTTTGTCTTCTGTGTTTTTAACTAACTTACAGATTTTGCGGACAAGTAACTCATTCCATCAGCAATTTGCCAAGCAAACTTCATCAGCTGCTGTGACGTCAGATTTGTTTGTGGTTTGATATCCGGGTCTTTGTAGTAAGTGTCTTTTAATCCACGGCTCTTTCTCAGGTAACCCAGCAGATCTCCAAAAGGCACATATTCAATCAAAACCAACAGCTGTTCTGAAGAAATTAAATAATTTAATTGATATGTTACTTTCATTTAAAAAAAAGCAGTAATTGAAATAGATGAATGGCCCAGTCATGATCAACACTTTTGAAGAAATCGCATGAAAACAAGAAAAACTATGCGACGGTCTCATAAGAAAGTACAGACCAATTATTCCCTTACAAAAAGCGTTTCTGCTTCTACAACAGAATGATCTGTTCAGTGGCAAATATTCGGTCTTAGTCTATCAGTAAATCCAGGAACGTCTGTGTTGGCTAAAATAAGATAAAATTACCTTATGCGATGGTTGTTTGTTTTGCTCAATTGCGAAGTGGTCACCCTTCCACTGAGGCAAATTATCAATGACGAGAAAGCGTTACAGAGTAAATCATAAGAAAAATGTGTACAGCAAAATTAGACCCGCATAACCAAAGCATACCAGATTCAGTAACACATCCCAGAAGTTTAATGACGTAAGGATGTGGTTTTAGCTGTTTCATTGTGTCAAGTTCTTTCATCAGATCTCTCTTGTCCGATTCAGTAGCGTTTGCTGGAGCATTAAAAACAAGGAGTAAAATTTGGTTAACGGGAATAATATGCGAAATGTCGGAATAACAACGTAACTTATGAAATGGCAAATAGCTAAATAATTACAGTAACCCGGTAACATTTCCTGAATGTCTGTAGGCCAAGACTCATTCAATTTACAGTACAAGAGCTCACTTTTAAGCATCTTAATAGCCACTGTGGTCGTTTCAGGACTCCCTCGAAGTCCTACTGCTGTTCCCTTGGCAACCTGACCAAAAGCACCTTTACCAATGATTTTTTCTATGGTCACGTTATGTCTAGGAACTTCCCAGCAGCGTGTTAATGGATGAAGAGGCACGTAATCAGCACCTGGAGGGGTACTTTGTGCTTTTCTATCATCTTTGTTGACTTCTATGAGATCCATGTATTCCGCATGAGGCTGGGTGAGTTTTCTTGAATCAGGTAGACTTGGTTCGATATCTTCTAATAATGTTTCATTCTATAAAACCAACACACTGTTAAGGTTATTAATCCCAGTAAAAAGTACCTCATGGTTATAAAAATCAGTTCACCCATTTTTATCAGACAAATGTTTATATTCTTCCATGATAAGAGATTATAAATAGTTTATAACCTCTTGTCATTATTATTACTAACATTTTGTTCTCTGCTTTTGAAATTATCATGTCCAATAGAGTGATTGAGGCTCATAGCATATTCGTCGAAGCTACAAACTGCAACGTGAAGATTGTCGATTGGTAGTCCAATATTTTGACAAATAAACGCACGAAACAACTCTTGCAGTACCAAGCTCCTAAACTCACGTTTAGAAAATAAGGCATCAAGAAAATACGACGCCCTAAATGCACGAAATCTATTATTTAGAAAGCAAATATCAACCGGGTGCAGACCAACTAGCGATCTGTGAAGTGAAACCAAGCGGTTGAACCAGGGACAATCGAAGGAAAATCCATGGAGTGGCTTGGTAAAGGACATGATCACAGGACAAAGACCTTATTGAGCCTAACTTCCTCTTTTATTTCATTGTATCTGCCTCTGATGCAATATGCTTTTTTTATGTAGAACTACAAATTTTTTCCCTCTCATTTACTTACGTCGTAAACACGTCTCTCATCTTCATAAGTCCTACAATTGAGAAAGCATAGAAATAATTATAAAACGCTAAGAATTTCATCAGTTTTTATTGGAGTTTTGTGTTAAGATGAAACCATATCGGGCACATTACATCGACACAATCCAACTAGCAGAAAATTCTTACCTCTGTTTCCCTACAGCGCCTGAAAAAAAACGAAAGGAAAAAATACAAATGATGTAAACGTCAGTAAAAATTTACTTTTGCGTGAAAAAGAATCTTGCAGCCAAACATAGATTATGATTCTTTTACCTACCTTTCTTATGTAGCCAGATTATGTAAATAATTAGAAGAAGGACTGTGAAGACAAGAACCCCAATTACGGCCAACAAGACGTTGTTGGATGGGCAGTTACATTCCTCAGGACCTAAAATGATTCATTTTGCAAAGCTTGATGAAATAACATTCAAACAACATTTACACTGATCCTGGTGGATACACTGCTCTTACTACATAGCTGAGGTTCATGACCGGAAAACGTTAACTCTAATTGGCTTGGTACGAAGGAAGAGTAAGGTGCTACTCTCTCTAAAATAATTTTTAAGAGTAAGACTTTGTTTAATTAAATAAAACAACAACGAAAAAAACAAAAACTTGGAAGTGTATCAGTCACAGAATAAGTTGTTTAATTAAATAGATACGGAATACAATTATAAACAGTCCATCTTCGGAAGAATACATGTAAACATTGAACAATGTCTTTATAAAATTTACCTTTTGTTGTGCTTTCCGAGCCATCTGTGGGTATTAAAACTTGTTTAATTGAGTCTGGATTGACTTTAAAACCTCTGAATTTGTCTTGCCTCGCAGCATCCGACAGGACAATCAAAACATTGCTGACGACTACAGTTTGATTGAACCTCATCATAAAGTCAAGAACAACACTGCCACACCTAGATAAGGGGGGGGAGGAGGAGAGAGAGAGAGAGAGAGAGAGAGAGAGAGAGCAGAGAGCATCATCGCACACATTCGTACTTTGGTGATTTTTAAGTGTTAAAATATATTGAGATTTAACCAATGTATTAAACCAAGGTAAATAAAGACAATATTAAAGACAATAGACTTCAAACATAAATTATCTTGTATTAAATAAGATTTGCTAAAGCAGAAAAGACACTTTTACAGCTAAAATACAACACATTGAAATAAAGCTCCTCTCCCCTACTAGAAGGCAAATTTGAGTTTGCATTTGTTGTTTCAGTGTAGAACAACAAACTGTACCTTACCTGGTGTTCACAGTGTTGGCGGATGAGCAGCCAAACCTCAAGGCAATTTGACAAGCCTAAAAGGACATATGAAGAAAAAACGTACATTCAAATGCTTGTTACATATTGAAGATCGTTCAAAATATCATTTTTTTAACAGAAATATTAAGATTTGATTCAAGAACAGATTGATTAAGATTCACTTTTCATGATAAATCTCATGGCAGTATTATAAACTCCAGTATATAGATCAAGTAGATTATCTAACCATTTCTGGAAATTTCGCAGCAACTTCTGAACGTCTGCTACAGTTCTCCTGTATTGTCGCTGTCAGGTAAACTTCTGTGCTTACTGTTTGAACTGGGGAAAAACAAAATACGACTTAAAATGTGTGTGTGTGTGTTTGTTTGCACAAGAATTATCATTTGAACTCATGTATAAAGCCTTTACTTAAAAAAGAACACTGGTATAAAATGTACGAATGGGAGGCCAATTTGAGAGATATTGTTTTTCTTGTATTTTGTGTCACGATGGTGTCTTCAGAATCGTTCCCCTAGTCGTCTTCCTTTTCGCCCAAGTATAACTTTTTTAAATAACCGCAAGTTATGAAATAGATGACATCGGTATAGCCAGTCTTAACATTATACTGACCAAACAGTTGTCCGTTTTACGCAAAAAAATAATATACCAGTTTTTGGATCATTTTGAAGTTATTTAAATTTGTCAGAAGGACAGGTCTTATTGCGTGATTGTGCCGCTAATATGGAATACGATCATTCTCTTCCTACTGTGACGTTTGTGGATTGCCGACTTTCGATCAGTTGTTAAAGACTCCCTTGAATGACAAAGGCAGGATGGCCACGGGTTTTTGAAGACCTGGCATATTGCCTCTGATATCTTGAAAAATCAGAACTGTCAATATATAGGCAATGAAGCCTAAGACACTGAGAATAAGGAATGGTATTCTTGACATGTAATGGATTTGAAGATGACAAAACCATGAGACTCCGTGGGTCTGCAGCACACCCACTAATGCATAGACCGTCATCTGTTAACTTTGACTTGTAGAGAAGCCAAAGAGGTGTCAGAAATTTCCCAGATCTATTTTAGAGCTGGATGAAAGTAACTGACAGCAGTTAAAAAATAATCGAGTTCCTCTCTGGTGAAAAAAGTAGAGCCTATACAGTGATGAACGTAGCGACCTCAGATTTCAGCCCCCTATTTACGCCTAGTAGGTGACTCTATCTCTTTGTAATACATTTGTATGTCAAGGGTCGATTCCCTGTCATTATAAATAAGTCCCGTCGAGGAATGTAATTTCTGAATTCGATATTATTCACACAGCCATCGGCTGAGAGTGTAATTGCTGCCTTTCGTGAAGATTCTTAAGCAAGACTGCTGTTTCGATTCTTTCAGAATCTCTTTGGTTTCCTCCTAAGAACGAATTTGCTCGCGGAAGAATGACGGGAGCCCACAGACCCTTCAACACTTTTTAACTTTCCTTTTTACGAAGGAGCGGCAACAGACAGTGAATTCCCATTATATACATTTCTCACTATTCTCTCTTCCATAAAAGATGTTCACTCGACTGCAACAGGATGCAAATGACTTAAGCCCCGTTCAAACCATCACGATCGTTGATGATAGACAACTGAATGATAGTTTCAACTTTCATTCACATCATTCACTATCAAGTTTGTGTTCAAATGGTTCATGATAGTCGATGATAGTTGACAAAATACCACCCAATGAGATCGCGTAATTGTACACAAATATGGTCCACGCTGAGGTCAGCAATTTCAGTGGCATTTGAAATTTTAGTCAAGAAGTTACAAGTTAAAGATACTGAAGCCTACCAGGAAATGATGAGAATTAACTACGAGACATTCTGAGGAATTTCGACGGCTATTTTTGTCATTTTACCATTTGCCATTTCGGTTTGAGCCCGTTTTTAGCAAAACTGCTGACCTAACCATTATCATTCACTATCTTCCTCTCGTTCAAACAGCAAAAACTATCATGTCGAATTTGAACATGTCCAAACTACATGATATTTGATGAAATGCGATGATAGAGCATGATAGCTCGTGTTCAAACGCGCTTGATAGTTGAAACTATCGTCAGCTATCCTGACCGTTAAACGGGGCTTCAGTTTTTCTTTTGCGACCATGATGAAAGGCAATCATAGTGCACACAGGTTCAGGATAAATAACGTTTTCTTCTTCAGATGTCGTGTATGATGTCGGCGTCGGTTGAAATAATATTTCATTGAGCGTTATTGTGAACTTTGGTTTGGGAAAATAAGTTAGAGTTTTAAAGAAACGACCGTAAGCAACTTCCAGTTAAGAGATCACCGGTCGATTAATAGATGGGTATAAGTGAGAACAGTGAGTCAGTGAAACAATACGCCAGAAACGTACGGACTTCTCTTGTATCTTCTCTTAATGTCGCCAGGTATGACTGTTCACTCCACAGTCTCCTCTATTGTGTCAAACTCCACCGGTAATTGTATTAAATTAAAAAGAAAAGTCACTTTCAACCAGTTATTTTCTCAATTCTTCTCTTGATTATTCGTGTTTCATGATTGTCCTCATTAAACCAAATTTCAATGATCATGGCAACTCTGGCCACTGAAATATGAAATTTGTCTTGTATCTGTTTCATGCGCTGCTAAAGTTTGATTTAAACGAAGACAGGCTAGAACTAGAATATCTCATCTCAAACTTGATAACGACAAGAGACTTTAGATTCGACTTCAAAGATGTTTGTATAAAACTAGAAAGGCTTCATGTGGGTTAGAGGATGTGAAGCAGCGCAAGGAAAGAATTTGCAACCCGTGTTTTGAGCGGGAAATCATACTGGTGAGGTTGTTGTTGAAAAGTGATTCTTGGTATTTTGCAATCTCTAATGAACTTGCAAAGCAACGATACTCAGAGCCAAAGCTTTTCCAAACGGAAGAAATTATGACAATTCAAGTTCATGGAGAAAGGATCTCGAGTGAAAATAGACTGAGAGACCAAAGAGAGAAAGAACTGAAAAGACGTGGAGCGAGTCGAGAAAAACGCGAAATGGGGTTTGATAGGGCGAAGAATAGGTAGAACACAGCGAGGGGAAGACGATAGAGAACAAGAAAAGGCTGAAGTAAAATGGCGAATATCATGCGAAGACGAACGTGAGAAGGTTGAAAGAGCTCCAGAAAACAGACTAAAAAGAGGTCAACAACAAAGAGAAAGCGAACTACGCTTGTAGCGAAAACGAAAATCCCCGAAAACTAGGACCTAAGACCTAAGGAAATGAAGACCCCTTCATGACCTTGAGACAGGAAGTTTGTGTCACGCTCTGTAGCTTCACCGAAAAAAATCTCTGAAAAGATTGACAACCTCTCTGCGTGAGGCAGCGTGATCATACATTCTTAATTAAGCTAAAGCGAAATCGCCGACAACAGGCCACTTCTGAGTTCTCGCGGCTCAGTAATCTGGTGTCGAAATTACGGTGCGCAGAGGAAGCTAAGTGCGAAGTCGCTTTCATCGGTATGAAGAGTAAAGTGCAGTGGTGGAGAAAATGACAGAAGAGTTCTCGGAATTCAGTGTGGGAGTGTGAATTTTTTTTTTGCGGGAGAGAGGCATCAACTAACTGATGACGGAAAAGAAAAGAAAAAAGCGGTTAATTTAAATGTGAAAAGACAAAACGAAAGTGTTGCAGACTTCTCTTTCCAGATTCAGATCAGCATGTATCAGTAAACTACTTAAAATATCTGTGAGTGCCAGCCAATGACAGTTAATAGATATGCCATATATTTGCAGTTGGCATACAAATATCAACTGCGACGTAAGTAAAAAATTTTTCTCGTTGATTCAGGTTCTTGCAAGCGAAGAATTCACCCGTAAAAACCTCGATGTTGATGACACGGAGAGTGCTTGAAAACTAAGTAAAGAAAAGGATAAACCGTTGGAAGGGGAAAATAAGATTCATTTGAACATACCTTCTTTTGCTTTGACTTGCTGGATATTTGCTTTCTCTTGTTTTAGGCTTTCACCAAGCTCATTAGTTGCAGTAATGGCAAACTGATACACCTTTCCTCTCTCCAATGCTATTTTCAATTCTCTTACAGAAACATCGCTGATTTCCTTTATTATTGTCCACTGTCCCACTTTTCCATCAGTCACTACTCTCTGGTACACTGTATACATGATAATAACTTTTCCATTACTTTCTGGCTTCTTCCACTCTAGGGTAATTGTATCATCTGTTGTTTCATCTGGCAGTTCGTTTATTTCGACCACATCTGGGGCTCCTAGATTGATGTCAACAACACGAACAGCGTGAAATTTCCAATAATTATACAACTTCTTGTTACAAACCTAGTCACACCATTATCAGTGATTAAATAATCTGTAAATTGGTCGAGGATTTATTTGGGATGTTTTTGAAACGAAAGTGTATGGCAAGCAAAATTAAGTTAAGTACTGAGATGAAGCGATAATGAGAAGCCTAAAATGATGATCGGTTATTGCCTAAAACAAATACTGCATTTACACGGTGAATTTTAACGACACACTGACTTCTACTGGTATTTCATCGCTATTTACACGAGATCAAATAAAAGACCGATGCATAGATGACGTCGCAATTCACCATTCGTTTGTGTCCCGTAATTACAGAAGGGATCTCAGTTCGTGTGCAACTATATTCTGCTTTTCAAAGTTTGACATCGTGCATGACTTAGTACAGGCACTCTGCGATCACACAGCGGGAAAATGAGTGCGCATGCTCCGCTTTTTTCTCCATGGAGGTTGCCAGTCGAGGAGGCAATGACAAGAAGCGCTAAAGCGATAACAGGTGCGACGAACTTCATTGCCATGTTACGGCTGCTCAACTTCAGTTACTAAATTCACACCTATTACCACAATACTTCTTTTGTTGACTGAGATATGTGCCGGATGAGATTCGAAAGAAACTTTCTTGAAAACGGGAACCTTAAATGTTTTGGTTTAGGCTTATCCCTGAGAAATAAAAACAAGCTATTTCTCATCTTAAAGAAAATAAACGGAGGATTCTTCGAGGCCGTCCACAAACTGTTTGACGAGATTTCCCCATAATGTTTGAATATTAGAAGCGATTTTCATGAAAGGCCTATTTCTTCAAACTTCAATTCTTTGGTAAAACGATGTGTGGAAATCGTCTCACTGACAAAAGGGATAGTTGGTTATTGGGCGTTTTGAATGTGGCCGGTAAGAGTTTAGGAAAACTGTATCCAACTAACCTAAAGGTCACTATCTAACGGCTGTTGTTGTTGCTGATTCATATAGCAGATTATGAAAGGTGAACATCAGAAAATATGAAAAAAAAAGAAAAAAAAAAAAACGACCAGGCAAATCAGGCAGCATTTACGGAACGTAACCGCGTAGGTTGTCAATTGTTCTCACCTACGTTAATTATTTTTTCATTGTTTATTATTATGCTTCTTCAAACGTAAGTACCTCTAAAACAATTATCACAAAGCGAAAGGAAACTGGCCACTAAGGAGGGGACAAACGCTGAAAATCAAAAATCTTATAATGCGGCAAGCTGATAACATTGTTAAAACAAATCTAAGTTGGCGGAAAAACGATTGGTGTAAAGTGCTCAATCACGATATCACTTTTGATTCCTCACCTTCAAACTTAGTCTTAACGTTCCATACAGTAGGATCTCCCTCGAACACAAAATTTCTGGAAAACAGTTTCACTGTGTAGTTGGTATCTTTCTCCAAACCACGAAACGAATAACTTGTCGTCCCAGGATCGGTGATATTAACCTTTTTTATCTCAGTTTCATCCTTTTGTAAGATCATTTGGAATCCTGTAATCGGACTTCCTCCATCATCAACTGGTGCAATCCATTGTATTGTTATAGAAGTTGCTTGAATGACTGATTCTGATTTGATGGATGCTTTCCCTGGTTTCTCTACGTAGTGCCATAAGAGAAGAGATTATTTCGAGTTTTGTCACAACACTAAGGATGAATGCAAGTTCACGTCTTCTCGCAGTTTATTATTCAACTTTCGTACACTGTTCGAATTCCGATTTTCTGATTAGATGATTTGTACCACGTGATATTGGGTGTGACGAAACTACCTCCTTGACGTCGTTTTCGTGGTGTAATAGCCGTGGTGTAAATTCAACACACCATTAACATTACACCATGGCTTGGTTTACCTTGTATATAAAGGTTTCAATGCGGTGTTTCTTTGTGCAGTGTATTCAATTTGGATAATAAAAATGTTAACACACTCATGGCTCTTGAATTATTAGGATTTACCTGTACTCGTTCACAAATAATGAACTCGGAATATTCAATACCGCACGAGGCTTTGCCTCGTGCGGTTTTGAAATTTCTCGTTCATTGTCAGTGAACTCGTGCAGGTAAATCCCCATAGTTCACTCGCTGAGTGCATTAACCTGTAATTAATGAATATAAATGTAGCTACCGGATAAATTCGGCCAAGAGCCTCTAATAAAAAGAGGAACAATTGATACTCCATGGTTGAGGAAGTTTCCTCTGGATACTCGCTTGTGAAGATGTCATCAATCTTCCTGAAGTTCAATGCTCTTTTGTAACGTGTTTAATGCTACCAAAGGGCAAAGTGTCGACAGTTTACTTAATTCGGCATAATTCCAGTAATATTCTGTTATACCTCATGGAGGTAACAAAGGCGAAAAATACGTGAAGGTCTAATGCTCTAGGAAAAAATGTGAATGGAACGCTCAGATAAGGCCGTAGGATGTATGTCGAAAACTAAGCGGACAAATTGTTAGAAAATGAAAGAAAAGTAGAATGATAAATCCCTTACTCAATTGTTTAACATAAGCTTATATTTTTCCACACACCTGTGGGTCTTGCAAAATATCCGCGCGTATTAAATGTTAAACTATCGAATAAGTTGTACAAAGTGAATGAGTTACTCTGTCGAGTACTTTGTAAGAAAATTTGGGTTTTTACCTCTAATACACCTGAAACAGTGATAATGAGCAAAGACAAAAAAAATGCTGACCTTATATATAGCTTCTTCTTATCAAAGTACACTGATCTTTTTTTACTTACTGATCTGATTTATCTTTAATAATTTCTCATCAGATGGAATAAGTCCATTGGCAGCAATGCACTTGTAATGACCAAAATCTTGATCACCCCCGAGTGGCACTTGTTCTTTGTTTTCTCTGGCTGTGACTCTATTTATTTCCTTCCGTCAGGTTTGTACCAAAGAGAGTGTTGGTGTAGGAACACCATCAGAAAGACACTTCAAAGTCACTGTCTGGCCAATCCAAGACTTCTTAGATGACGTGGTGATATTTCGAATTGTGGGCGGGTCTAAGAATAAATACCAATGCAATAAGCAATTGAATAAATAATGAGTGATACTTCATATCAATCAGAACAGTAACGAGCTTTATCATTCCACTGCTGTGTTATTTTACCAAGTAAAGTAATGAAAATGGCAAAATGTGCCACAGTATTACACTTTAGAACAAGCCAAAAATACGTAGCATCACACTGGCCGCACTGAACAATCCAAACTTTAATTTTTTTGTTTAATTTTTTTTTTTGAAAATGTGACTGTTAAAGAGGTGAGCTTTAAAGCAAGAAAGAACACCTTATGCGACCGATACGATACACAGATAAGGCCGTAGGAGGTAATTCGCATACTAAAATTAAAACACTGATAACTAAAATAATAATAGTGGAATAATAATCAATTATTCGAGAGTTTAACGTATGACACGAGCGGAAATTTTGCTCATAATTTCTCTCGCCTCTTCAGGATTCGGAAAAATTACTTCACAGCCAGAATAAGGTGTATTTATTTCTTTCTTAGAGGGCACGCTAACGAATCCTGCAATCTGATGGGTTCTTAGCGCGGTCCGTATTTTCCTATCTCTGCCTACGGGCATAGCAACACTTATCGTGAGTTGCAGAGTCATCCATATCTTCGTTGCCATTCTTCATAAATAAATAGCGTTTAGCTAGCTGGGCATTATTTTTAATCAAAGACGTGGGTCACGAACTCAAGCCCGTAAACAACTTATTAATCCTCTCTTTTTTCTCTCTCTCTCTCCCAAATCTCTTTAAATGCCAGCAAAATATTGGTTTAGAGATGAATTTTTGCTAGAAAAATTGCGACATTAAATGGCTTAAAAACAGTTTGTAATTGATTTTAATCCTTCACAAAAAGTTAAAACGTCAGGTATTTGTTTAAAATTGAATTAATCAATGGGAATTGCTCTGATTCAATTCTGCAGAGCGCGGAGAGCACGCAGCGTCAGGTAGACTATACTTATAAAAAAAATAATAGTAGCAACAGTAACCTATCAAGTCGGAAAAAACACCCAAACCGCTACGATTCGTCAAAGGCAGTTTGCGAATCGGTCTACCGAGGTCGATTCGCGGTCAATGCGTCCCATTATACCGGAAATCTGATAAACCATCTCACATTAGATGGAAACGCATACCGGAAGTCGATTTGCAAGACACTTAGACAATATTCCGCAAGTAACTGTCAAGGGTTGTTGAAAATTTTTTCGAATCAAACGACTCGTCTCAGTCAAAGTCGACCTGTCTTACCAGAAGTCGATTTGCAAGACACTCAGAAAATATTCCGCAAGTAACTACCAAGGGTCGTTGAAAATGTTGTTCAATCGGCTCGATTCGACTCAAATCAAACAACTCGTCTCAGTTGATGTCGACTCGTCACACCGGAAGTCGATTTGCAAGACACTTAGAATATATTCTGCAAGTAACTGTAAAGGGTTGTTGAAAATGTTGTCGAATCAAACGACTCGCCTCAGTCAAAGTCGACCTGTCTTAACAGAAGTCGATTTGCAAGACACTTGCAAATCTGCAAGTAACTACCAAGGGTCGTTGAAAATGTTATCCGACTTGATTCGACTCGAATCGAACGACTCGTCTCAGTTGATGTCGACTCGTCACACCGGAAGTCGATTTGCAAGACACTTATAAAATATTCCGCGAGTAACTACGAAGGGGGGCTGGAGATGTTGTCGAATCGACTCGATTCGACTCGAATCGAACGACTCGTCACAGTTGATGTCGACCCGTCATAACGGAAGTCGATTTGCAAAACACTTCGAAAATTTTCCGCAAGTGGCCGCGAAATGGGGTTGCAGATTTTGTCGAATCGACTTGATTCGACTCGAACCGAGCTACTCGTCACAGTTGAAGTCGACCCGTCATATCGGAAGTTGATTTACAAAACACTTCGAAAATTTTCCGCAAGTGGCCACGAAATGGGGTGGCAGATTTTGTCGAATCGACTTGATTCGACTCGGACCGAACGACTTGTCACAGTTAATGTCGACCTGTCATACCATATTATTAGTATAATAGTTAAAATACTTTCAAATTGTTGAAAATGTGTTTTGTAAATTCTGTTACAATGGTATGAATTACTTGTATAAATATAAGCTAGTTTCCACTAGAATTTAACAGATTCATTTCACTCCATCAGCAAAATCTTCATATCTTTCTTTTGAAAAATGGGTTATGTCAAGCTTTATTAGCATCTTTCCCACTCTTCAGAATTTAATATTCTCCCATCACATTTGTGCCTTGCTGAATGATATTGAAAAAATGCAAGGGAGCCATTTTAAAATTTGGCGCCCCTGCTATAATTACCTCACGCAAGGTGATTAAAGCGAGATATGACGCACTCCTCTACCAATCAGAGTGCGTGCATCTCTATAATCACCCAGGCAATTATACTGAAAACATATATCAATAGCAGCCAGGAGGGTTATAAGTTTATCGTTTTGAGATATAAATATTGTTTAGGCTGGTCTTAAAAGAGGAAAAATAGCGAATTGTTTTTATACTAGATGGTAACAAGTTCTAAAGTTCAGCATTTCTAATGAAATATGATTTCCTATAATAATCTAGATTATGTCCGTAGATTAAGTTATCATCATTAATGTCAAATTTACGTGTACGATGACATGGCTCAAAGTATGCCATGTATTCCCTCACATCGATAGATATAAGACCATTCCTGGACTTGAAAATGGAAGCAGGTTTGACATATCTCTACAAAAATCAAGAGGCGGTAAGGGAAAAGTACTGTTTAACTCACTTTCTCTTGTAGAGAGGAAGATATTGAATATGGCATGTCAAAAAGGTTGTCACAGAACGTCAATAACGATAGACTTGTACTTGCACAAGTGTAACCCTAATGCCAAAATGTGATCGGTGGGAGAGAAAAACCCTTACGCTACGATCTCTTTGCAATTGGCTTGGGCGAAATGGCATTTCTGGACATTTACGTCGTTTTCGTTTTCTTGTTTTTTTCTTAACAGTAAAATGTTTTATATATGTGGTGAACTCCAAGAAAGTATGTCTGGTGTAATTTTTATGGGTGAGTTCAAAATCTAGAGATTAGCATAGCGTTCATGCTTGCTTTTTACCTGCTCCTAACAACAGAGGTCGAACGCCTGCGCATATGCAAACACGGAAACAATGAATGAATTGCCAGTAATCGGATCCTTGCGTTTGCGCTCAGATTTCTGGGATAACAAGGGCAAACATCGTAACTCGCTATAAAAGAACGTATGGCGAAAGGTTGTTTGGACGTCCAAAAAAAGCGATTTTGCCAAGAGATTAAGGCTTTTTCGCAGCACTTTTACCATACATGGATAAAGATAATGTTGTTACCTTGGAAGTTAAAGTTTTCACTGGAATTAACACGAAATATATTACAAAAAATCTCGAAAAACTTCTCTCCTTGCGTAAGGTCTATTGTGAAATCGTCATCGCGTAATGGTCTCAAAATATTACAAAATTATCCAGAAATCGCTAGGAAATGACTGTTTTAAGTCTTTTCAGTTGTATTTATACATGTACAGCCTATTTTTATACTTGCTAACGTATTTGATCGACAAATTACGTTTGAAAATATAC